TACTACCGGTCTCAATCCCGGGTAAAGGAGGAGAGTTCGGCATAGTGTTAGCAACCCCATCCCATAGAAAACAACCTTGTTACAAAAACACTAACCAGAATAAACGGCTGTCTAGTGCCTAAATGCTTTCAATGGCGAAATAACCTGGATCAAATCGTGATTTCAGTCAAATTCATTAAGTATTTTTCTCCATTTGACTTCGCAAATACAATTCTTTTCACCACTCATAATTAGACATCCAGAATATATATTTATGTCATTAATTTTAGTTATACCGTTTGAGTTTATGACATGTAACACCGAACGTTAAGTATTATAGTGTCGAAACTGTATCCTAATATTTCAAAAACGTATCCCGTAAGATAAACACTAGATCAAATTTGTTTTTTAAAAATAATACTTGAACCGTTCGAATTTTCGAAATGATTTTAAATGAAACTATGAAAACAGATATGTTTTCATTTGGATAAACTTAGTAACTTAATAATAATTATTATTATTATTTGTAGAAAACCTAACCAGTTTTCTGGGGATAGTTAAATAAAATTGTACTCAAACCCAGATTTTTATTAGAACCCCCCATTTTAAACGTGTCAAACAAGGAAGTATTTTATAGTTTAACTAGTAACCAACTAATTTCTCATGCTATGTACTTCAAATGAACTTATTTTCGGACGAGAAGACCTGATGAAGTGACTATAATGCAATTAGATTTATACATCTCATTCACATGATAGTTAGGTGCAACACCTAATAGCTGAATTAACGTCGACACTTGATTGGCAGTTATTTATCATAATTCGGTTAATAAAGCCCCAGGTTACTTGAATGAACTCAGGTTTTCATTCCACTTCAATCGTCATTCCAGTATCTTAAGTTTCTAAGTGATTTACGAATGCCGAACTACGACTGATTCAGCAGTTCATAATTTTACCTTTTGTCCGTTAAATAACACTTCTCCCTTATTACATACACTTAGTTTACCATTTCTGTCCGATTGTTCGATATACTATACTGTGTGTATTGTACTAACACCTTTTCCTTAATATTCATCCCCTTTGAGTATCACACCATACTACTTTACAGTATTCAGTAGTTTGTGTTATTCTCAAACATTTTTGGAACTAAGCAGAGATGGATAGTGGCTAACAGTGGAATCCAGGACGCGCGTTTCGTCCTATTTGGGACTCGTCAGCTGGATGTACCTGCATCTCAGAGTTGATGTTCACTCTGGGACTCGAACCCAGTACCCTCGCTTCAAACGCCATCGCGTTATCCACTCGGCCACTGATTCTTGATAGCCACTTGCTTGTGCGATGGGGTGAAGTTTGAATTCACTTAGTATTGTTTGTTTGAATCTGTTAGAGACTAACCAGTTACAGCCCTAAACACATCGATGGGAAGATTCAAACAAATAATACTAAGTGAATTTTTGGAACTAGTTTATAATATTTTTCTACTGCAACGCTGATCTTAATACTTTCTATATTTACCAGATCCTTTGATCCATTTTCTTACATATAATGGCACTTCTCTTTTGTTGCATAGTCCGACTTATGTGTGTTACTCCCTTAAACATTGTTTATTCTGAATATCTCGCATGTTTTGAATACATAAACCTTGTTTAATTTCGTTAATTGTTAAAACTTGCCATTGATAATCGTATACTGTCCTCAAAATTATAGTGTATTGTGATTTGTTTTTTATCCAATTATTTGGATGGTGTACGTCTCTTTTGACCATACCTTTCAATGGAGTTAAAGAAGCCTGGAATCCTCATGATTCAAGATTTACAACATATTTTTCTCATGTATCTTATCTTAATAGTACAGTTTACCAAACTCGCTCAGAGCATTTCTAGGGTTACAGACAATCCCAAATCTGGGCTACGCAGGAGAGTTGGACAGAGGTTTATAAACCCTATCCTATGACAAAGAACATTGATAAAATATGTCAACCATAAAAGTCATTCAAACCATTTAAATGCTGTTCTGGTAGGTGAAGGGTTTTCAGATAAAAGAGTTACGACGCCTAACAGTGAAGACAGAGATTCCCCGCACACCACGAGACCAATTCCCGATCTTATAGCTAGAGCTACATGCCAACTGACGATAGCAGCGAAGATAGTAAAGATGGGCTACATGAGAATTCGAAGTCCGCCATAAACAAGTGACCAGGAAAAGAACTGATCATTTTGACAAGCGACTTGAACGCAAAGGTCTAGCTGGACAACAAAGGGTATGAAAACATTATAGGTATTATGGCCAGATGCATCGAATTGTTGTGAAATATGTATTAGTAGTATGATCGGAGGAAAAGAATAGTGACTGCAGAGACGAGATACGCGGATTCTGTATTTGATCATGAAGCTTTGCGCGGTCTATGTCATTGAACAGAGATGCTATAGCACATCTCATACACCTAGGTTTGTTTACGCCCAATTTCGTCAAGCGCTTCAATTAAGTTGTTTGATAGATTGTTATTCGAACAGTAACAATTTGTATATCGTGGTATTATTATTACCATCTCTTTGTCAAAATGTATGCTTGATCACACGTTACACCCTATGCGCATATCCCTCTTTCTAGCTTAAATATTAGTTAATCAAATTGCTCGACGAATCATTCGCTTATATATATATATATATATATATATATATATATATATATATATATATATAACGCTTCACCTTCTAGATGTTTCTGAGACACTTATATGCAATGCTGATTGGATAAGATGTTTCCCAAATTTTTCAGGTCCCCTCTAGGCTTTTTTTCCAGGAATATTCCAGGCTTCTCTAATATTTAACGATATCTCCCACAGGGAATGATAAAGATAAACTGTTAAAAAGAACTAACGAATAGGTCAACTTAACTCCGCCTGTAGATCCTCTGGGGGTTACTGCCGGTCCCAAGCCCGGGTAAAGGAGGAGGGATGGGCATGGGGTTAACGACCCCATCCCGTAGAAAATCAACTCGCTAAAAAAACGCTAAACAGAAAAAATCATTCAAACCTTTCAAACTCTGCCCTGGGAGTAGAAGGAATAATTATGACGTCTCATGATGAAAGTCGAGTTCCTTCGGAAGTCACGAGGCCGATGCACCTTCTTACTACCAGAGCGACAATTTTTATAGGTACATGGAATGTCAGAACAATGTGGGAGACCGGAAGAGTTTTCCAAATTGCTGCAGAAATGAGAAAATACAACCTGGAGGTTCTTGAAATCAGCGAAACACATTGGACGCAGGTTGGACAACAACGACTGTCTTCAGGGGAACTTCTGTTATACTCCGGTCATGAAGAAGAAAATGCCCCACATACACAACGAGTTGCATTGATGCTGTACAGAAAATCACAAAATGCACTTCTTGGATGGGAATCTCATGGACCAAGGATCATCAAAGCCTCCTTCAAAACAAAGAGAAAGGGCATTACAATGAACGTCATCCAATGCTATGCGCCTACCAATGACTACGATGAAGACGCTAAAAACCAATTCTACGATAGGCTGCAGTCGATCGTCGAGAAGTGCCCAACCAAGGACCTGACAATTCTGATGGGAGATCTCAATGCTAAGGTTGGAATGGACAACACTGGATACGAAGACGTCATGGGACAACATGGACTGGGAGAAAGGAACGAAAATGGTGAGAGATTTGCAAACCTATGTGCATTCAATAAACTAGTCATAGGTGGCACCATATTCCCACACAAAAACATACACAAAGCCACTTGGATTTCACCGGATCACACTACACAGAATCAAATCGACCATATCTGCATCAACAAAACGTTCAGGAGGACGATGGAGGATGTGAGAACCAGAAGAGGAGCTGATATAGCATCCGATCATCATTTGTTGGTCCCCAAGATGAAACTAAAACTCAAGAAGCAGTGGACAACGGCGCGGACAACACCACAAAAGTTTAATACGGCCTTTCTTCGAGATGCTGACAAACTCAACAAATTCAACATAGCCCTCAGCAACAGGTTTCAGGCTTTTCATGATCTACTCAATGGAGAGGAGACTACCATGGAGAGCAACTGGAAAGATATCAAGGAGGCAATCGTTTCAACATCTCAGGACGTTCTGGGCCAAAAGAAGCACCATCACAAGGAATGGATCACTGTTGGTACACTGGATAAGATTGAAGCAAGGAGGAACAAGAAGGTAGCAATCAATATCAGCCGAACAAGAGCAGAAAAAGCCAAGGCACAAGCCGAATATACAGAGGCAAACAAGCAAGTGAATAGGAGCACCAGAAGCGACAAACGTAAATATGTTGAAGATTTAGCAACGACAGCGGAAAAGGCTGCAAGAGAAGGAAACATGAGACAATTGTATGACACAACAAAGAAACTCGCTGGAAATTACCGTAAGCCGAAAGACCAGTGAAAAGCAAGGAAGGCGAAGTAATCACCGACATTGAAGAACAACGAAACAGGTGGGTAGAACACTTCAAAGAACTCTTGAATCGACCAGCCCCACTGAACCCACCCAACATCGAAGCAGCACCCACGGACCTCCCAATCGATATTGGCCCACCAACAATTGAAGAGATCAGCATGGCCATTAGACAAGTCAAGAGTGGCAAAGCAGCGGGACCAGACAACATCCCGGCAGAGGCACTGAAAGCAAATGTAACAGCAACTGCCAAGATACTCCACATCATCTTCAGTAAGATTTGGGACGTCACACTTCTGGACAGTCAGCAGTACAACTTCGCCTTCGGACCTTGGGTTTGCTGCTTTTAGTCTTACCGCTCTTCAACCGACCGGCCTGGCGTAGCAGGACTTTGAGGAACGAATTTTCCAGCCAGTATAGCCCGACTGGTTCATCACGATAGGCAAGCCTAACCACCACGTCAAGGTAGCAGCAACGATCGTGTTTAGGGTTAATAAATCTTTACTTGTACTAGTATTCTGTGTTCTTACTTTGTGCCGTGAGAATCGAAGTAATTCCTTGTATAATTAATAAACGACGCGGACATAACAGATAGTTATGAGATTTCAATACTTGACTATATATTCATAAACAAAGCTGGTTTTTGTCATTATATAATAAGTTCAAAATTAATCCTTAATGGAAAACATTAATGTATTCAACTGGAAAATACAAATTTACAACTTATTAGAAGAAGAAAAACTCAACATTATACCATCTAGGAATAAATTGTATATGCAATTATTTGACTTTATTTCTGCTGAATACACAAAAATGGAATGGAAAAGTGAGAAGTACCCCCTCCCAAAAAAAAAAATTAAAAATAAGAACGGATGAATTCACAGTGTGAAAAAATAACATCATTAAAAGTTCGAAACGAAATGATAGAGAATCGGTAGGCAAAAGTAAAATAAACAACAAGAAATTACCGAGAAAAAAAACATGGTTACACTACATAATTCTAATCAATACTTGATTACTTTCACAATAACATGTAATAATCATTATAAATATAACTGAACACAAGCAAAGCAAGCACTGAATTGTTCTCAATTATTTTTCTTCCTCAGAAGAAAACAAAAGATTATTCAGAATCTGAATGTAAACCAGCAATCTCTTCCTCGGAACCCCCAATAGCTTTCCAAATTTTACATGTTATCTATAAAATAAATTGATTGATGAGAGAAAAAATATTACAAGGAATAATTAAGTAACTAAGCGAAAATAATATCGGTATGAATATTGTTTACAAGTAAAGAAAATTTATTATATATATACGATTGTAAAGATTAATATACGATGTACAGACAATCATGAGCATGATTCTGATATGCTTTGTTCTTGTATTCTGCTATCCGATTTTCAGGTAAATTACACACATTCTACTATAAACCAAAATTTAAAGTAAGTAGGTAGGTATAATTATCAAATTGTTGATAATATGTGTACATGTATACATTTGTCCTTCTAACTCACTCAGACAAAGACATATAGACTGAGATCTTGACGAGAAGTATAAGCGATTTCATACTGTAGCTTACCTTGTTTGTAATTCCTCACCTATCCTCTAACATTGAAATGATATGTAAGCAATAGGTACGTATTATGCGTAGATTTACCTAGCTAGTATCTCCTCTTAAAAAGTAGATTACCTAGGAGTGTGATAAAACTTGTTATAATTTCATAGGATTATCAACTGACTACAATATGAATCTATCAACGACAATATTATAAACACTTTGATAGATCATAATAACATCGATAATAGATGTGATTCACACTTCTTTTCAACGACTTTTTTTAAATTTTCCAAAAGCGTTAACTTCTTGTTTACTGAAATTAAACAAACAAGTGTAACTGTGTATGCAAAAATCTTGAAGAGACTATGGAAAATATAAAGTCAACGGTAGCAAAAGAAAATGAAGAGCAAAAGGGGGGAGAGAGGGAAATGGGGAGCTATAGAAAGGTAGACAGATTATCTGGAAAAGTATGACAATAAGAATTAAAAAAAACTGATTCATCTCATTCGACTACCTTTCTTTAATGTGATGTAACTAATTCATCAAGTACAGATTAGTATACTCAGCCTTGAACTACACTTCATATACGAGACCAAGTTATACTACCCATCTGATCGAACTAAAATAGTAATTGAAAACTGAATGCCTTATCCATCCACTAAGCCCTCATTCCATGTCTTAATAGTATAAATTTATCAACTTTCTCTGAAAGCTAATTTAAATGATAATAAAATTTATTATCAGAAAAGGTTTTGTGGAGATTTAGTATTTTCATAGTTGCAAGCGTGAGTCAGTTGAAGCTAGACCATCAAGGAAAACCTGGAAGCACTGGACGGCTGTTTCGTCCTGTGGTAGGACTCCTCTGGCTCGAGGCTGGTAGGTCCTGGGTTTGAATCTCGCGAGACGAGGTCTCAAAGGTAACTTTACTGTTTAACAAATCAAATTAAAAAGCAACAAAATAACACTTTATAACTTACTTTTTCAGCCATATTATGTCTATCTGTAGAATTCAATGAAGCTATTTCATCACGTATTCTTGGTAAATCCTTAAAAAATTCTTCAAATTCATTTTCATCATTGAATAATGAATCGAAATGTTTATTATCATTTAAATTTACTTTGTTTATATTATTGGATAAATTATTTATTAAATCTAAATTATTTTCATTAGTTAAAGATTTGCTTTCAATGGATTTCAAGCGGTTTAAATTATTTTGACCTTTTAATATAATAGAAGAAAAAGAAGAAATTCGAGAATGGTTTTTTTTTTAAAAGACTTATGAAAAAATATACAGTACAATCTGATTATAGTGAGAGGGTGAGGAGAAGCGTTTAAGACCCCAAAAAATAGGTTACAGCGATCTAGTTACTTTTATTCAATGCCTTCTCGTGGCAGGGGTGTTGCTTACGAAATTCAGAGGACGAAAAACGAATGTGCAGCGCTTTAACCGGGTCGGTGGACACGGAAAGTTCACCTAGGGGAGTTGGAAAACCATTATTCCAAACCAATGATGCACATGGGCTCCCGTATCCTGGGGCAACAAATGGTGTGTGAATCAATTGTTGGTCACCGCCTACCATGGGACTGCGTCTACTCACGATGCTCCACTGCCTTGTGGATCAGATCTTTAGGTCAAAGGCTCCAGGTGTGGCCCCCTAAGAAAACCACCTGCTTCAGTTTGGGCACCTGGGCAATATCACAGCCCTCACACAAACCAAATAAGATTCGTGCGGCACATATATCTGGTGTCTCTTTGTGCGAATATTTATGTGTTTAATAATAATAAATAACGTTATCTACTCCTATAGAGTTATAAATTAAGCATCCATCGTAAATTGTCATCATTTCACTGTATTTTTCTCCATTTTGAACAATACACTTCTTGTATTTACATTTTTTGTTGTTTCCTATATTATTATTCATTTTATTCTTTTCATTCTACTAAATTTCCTTTAGCTAAGCAGATGCGTTTGTGTGTGGTGTAGGGTGGGGTGTGTGGAGAAAACTGAACCGATACTACACTTTTGCCAGGTTCAACAATGACAATAAATAACTGACTTTCACTATTATCAATAATACAACTATTATGATCCATTTGATTTCCTGACACTATTTATGACTAACTGACTGAAATAAATTACAAAACCCATATAAAGAAGTGAATATGTTCTTACATAAAAGAGATGAATATTAAATTCACTTAGTATTATTTGTTTGAATCTTCTCATTGATGTTTAGGACTGTAACTGGTCAGTCTTTAATTGGCATATGTGCATACTGTGCGTATAGCCTCGATATAGCCTAAATTCACAAGCATAGTAAGCAAAGATGGATAGCGGCTAGCAGTGGAATCTAGGGTTCGAGTCCCAAAGTGAACATCAACTCTGAGATGCAGGTACATCCAGCTGACGAGTCCCAAATAAGACGAAGCGCGCGTCCTGGATTCCACTGCTAGTTACTATCCATTTTTGCTTACCATGTTTAGAGATGAATATTAGTTAGTTAATTAACAGAGTTTTTTACTTAAATACGATTGACTCGAAAGGTATATAATTGCCATGTACGAAAAAAACATGACCAAAATCCTATAATCTATATAAATTTACTTTTAAAGCGAGTGACTTATTTTTTCGGATCTATAACTCGATATCAGGTATGAAAAATGATAATCGTACTGCTCTAAACAAAAAACCCATGATCTAATGCGTTTCAATCTGGAAAAATTGTCTGGATTCAAACATGATTATTGACACAAGTTATTAGCTAAATAATAAAATTGTTATATTTTAATAAATATTTATGAATGTTTTGTAATAAACCAGGTGACAAACAAGAATGTATACAACAATCAGCGCCCCCAAATGCCCTGGGGTACGGCCGAAAGTGGGGAGAGTCCGCTCTCCCTCTCCAAATGCTCTCACATGGCCACGCGAATATAGCCCCTGCCAGGGAAGTCCTACTCACTGCCTTCTCGTGGCAGGGGTGTTGTTCGCGAAAGTGAGAGGACGAAAAGCTAATGTACGGCGCTTTAACCGGGTCGGTGGACACGGAAAGTTCACCTAGGGGAGTTGGAAAACCATTATTCCAAACCAATGATGCACATGGGCTCCCGTATCCTGGGGCAACAAATGGTGTGTGAATCAATTGTTGGTCACCGCCTACCATGGGACTGCGTCTACTCACGATGCTCCACTGCCTTGTGGATCAGATCTTTAGGTCAAAGGCTCCAGGTGTGGCCCCCTAAGAAAACCACCTGCTTCAGTTTGGGCACCTGGGCAATATCACAGCCCTCACACAAAGTGTGGCGCATATGTACCCGGTGCCTTTTGTACCAGTACGTATGTGATTAAATAAATAAATAATAAACTACATTCTCAGAACATTTATCAAATAACTCACCTTTGAAGTCAATAAATCATTTTTTTAAACGACATCACGAATGGTAATATTTTCAGAAGGAGTTTTGTAGAGATTTTAGTTATTTTATAGTTGAATTTATGAGTCAATTGAAGCTAGACCACCATGGAAAACCTGGAACCACTGGACGGCCATCTCGTCCTATTGTGGGACTCCTCAGCAGTGCTCATCCACGATCCCACCTCGCAAGACTCGAACCCAGGACCTATCAGTCTGGCACGTGAGCGCTCAATCTCTAGACCACTGAACTGACCGGCATACAACGGCGTTAATGTCTAAATTTAACCAATCCACGAAATTGATCAACCGTCCACCATGAATGCGCACTGTTGAGGAGTCCCACAATAGAACGAAACGGCCTTCCAATGCTTCCAGGTTTTCCATGGTGGTCTAGCTTCAATTGACTAATGGATTCAACTATAGTAATATTTCATGCGACGTGATTTTATTTTACAGATTAGTAAAAATATCAATTAGATATTCGATAAATACAGTTATTCCTCCTGTAGTGATAAGAATTCGGACTTGTAACTGACCTCACTGATTAGTTACTTTAATGAAATTTAAATTGTGTAAACATACAGTAGAACCTTAATTTGTACAAAATGAAATTGATGCAGCAGAAGTTTTTCGTGATAACTTGATTCGATGTACATAAGTAGCAGGTTGTACGTTGTGACTAACTGATCGTTCCAATTAATAAATTAACTCCAAGTTTGCCATATTATCTTAGCAATTAACAGTAAGCGATAAAAATAACCTAGCAGATATATCTTTAAGGGTCGGGAGAGTGGGTAAACAAGTATAAGTAGACAGGTGGATAAGTCAGAAAAAAATCTATCAGCAAATTATTTTCTTTACTATTATCATGCGAAAGAAATTCCTGATAATAAAAATAGTACTTATATACCTTTAGGCTTCATATTTGGCCAAATATGTGTTTCCAATATAGATGTTATTCGTTTTACTCCAAATTCTTCGCCTGAAAACGAAATTCCTCAAAAATCATTTATTGTAATATACAACTTTACTAATTTCAAAAATAGATATTCTGCTAAACAGTGGATTACTAGAAAAGTATGGATTATTAAAAATGAAAATAGTCAGAACAACTTACCGAATGCTTAGTAAGATTTTCTGTGACTATAACAATGACATCTGTGGTAGCGAACATACAAAGCCAACTCTTAATAACAATTATGGTCGAATATGCAAAATTATCTCAACAAATCCTATCATTTTGTAGTGATATTTGACAGGTTAGAGGCTGTTGAAATTACAAGAATAGTCAGTTAGTAATCAAATGATTCCCTAAAACGAAATATAAGGCATGCTACTGTATTTTCAACTCCGTCTGGACCCCTTCTAAGGTTAGTCCTGATCCTAGGCCCGGATAAAGAAGGGTTAGGCATGGACTTAGCAACCCAATCCCGTAAAAAAGGACCTTGCTAAAAAAAGCTAATTGTGTTACCTATGATATCGATTTTTATAATTTCTGTTCAACTATATTATCTACATACTGATGATGGTGACTTTAACTTCAATTTTATTGGAGTTGATTTTTTACTTTAAGATCTACTATGTAATTACCAATACATAGATAATATAAGTTCGTTAGGCAGAGACAGTGACAAAATAAACTTCTTCAGAGTACCCTGAGTAAAAATCGAAGAAAGATGGTGTTACAGGACTAACGTGTAATGACAGTTAGTTAAGAAATGAACAGTGGTGTGATTGTGCGAATATTACTTAACTCGGTCAGGAAATAGTATCAGGCCTGACTGACTACTTACTAACAAAATATCGCGACCACTACATGGATTTATCTTGGCACCTGCCAACTTATACCACCAATAGCACTAGTCCAACCAGACAATTATCAAGAGGTGAGTACAATGTAAAGGAGTGAGCTCTTTTCTATACCATGGCTGTGAAATATAACTGCTGATTGAGACAAGTATACGGATACAGTTATTAGACAACAAATACTTTCGTAGCACTGATCGCGTTTAGTGGAACCATAGAATAAGTAATGTTCATCTAGATGCAAATTTTAAGAAATAAGGGCAAGTTAGTTGTTAAAGTCGTGTATCTGTACTGATCGAAGTGATTTAATCCGATATTCTATTTATCTTATACCAGGCTATACTGACTTGTAACGCTGGTTTGAGTATAAGTATGCCGACAAAATTTAAGAGCAGTCACATAAACGCACACTATTCATTGAAGTTATTGACTGTTGGTTTTAATTGTACGGGGAGGTCCAGGTTTCACCACAACCAATGATTAGGGCTCTTAGGTGACGTGATTTAAAATCAGCCTCAAAGGTGGAAATGTATTCATTCCTTATCTTCAACTAGATCTCGAACTTCATATTATTCACGACTTCATTCACTTTCCGACTTTTTTCTTTCTGGCCCTCAGCTTTCCGCTGTTATTACTGGTATTATCTCTACACCTCTTCGTTTTTCTCATGTTGCTTTGTAATTGCTGTGCTGACAAGTGTAATAAGTCTAAGCAATAAATATTTATATTGGGTCTTACTTTGTTTATGTGTCTGCTTTGGTGAGTTTGTTTGAGGAAAATCATATTTTTAGAAAAACCCACTGAAAGGAATAATATATACCACTAACCTTAACAATCCGATTACTAAAACTGAAAATGAGTGTAATAAGCACAGACGATCCTCATATGAAACAATCGATATATTAACAGGACTTAAAAAGGCCAATAAGCAAAAAACCTAATACCTTCTTCAATAGTATCTTCATTTGGAGAAATTTCAACAAGCTCAAACTCATGATCCAGAATAATGCGTGTCATAACCGAAAAAGCATCTGATTCAGAAGGAAACAAAATAGACGGACTAACAGTATGGCACACTAGCATCCGTATGGATACGTCATGACTAATAGCCAAGCTCATCAGTTTAAGAGCATCATTCCAACTAGAAACCTTAAGGAGAAAATGGATATGAACAAACAGAAAATATATCAATGTAGAGCGAACGAACTCACGAAAGATCAGAAAAAACGAGGCGCTAGTCGAGATTGACAGGTTTAGTGATGCGACTGCATGACAAATACGCTAATGAGTATGTGGATAAAAAAGCACGTGAAGCATTGAATCACAAAACGTCAACTATACACTAACGTATTTATAGCAAGATTAATAACCCAATGTTTGCCCTAGCATGGGGAGGGATATTTGATAAGCTCCAAATTAGGACAAAGCAAATAGATAGTGTTTATCCGTCTGTAATCAATATCTTGCCTTGATCATTGATGAAATATCTTCTCAAATTATTCATTGAACATTATCTAATGAAACAATAATATTCTGATTTTACTTTTCTTAATTGATCCTTCATCAATTTATTACCCTAGAAATTCGGTAATTGGAAGTGATAAAATGATGCACCACATTTTTCGTCAACTTTCATCATTACCCAAAACATAACGCGAATTAGCGTATAATTACAATTTTCTCCCTCGTTTAACCAGTCTTTAATAGTGAGCTAAAATGATGGAACCGGATTAAGTCGTGTTTTTATATTTCTACAAAATAAGGGTGCCAGTTATACAAGCGATAAATGTAAGTTAAATGCCTTTTGATTTACAAAGTAATAAAGTAAAGAAAGGTGAGTCCTTCTACATAGGACTAAGGACTTAATAATTAGTGAATAATTAGCCTATTATCAAAGTGGCGTTACGCTAAAGAATCGTGAACTCAGATATACATTGTTTACTATCCTAATTTAAGAAGAATCGGTTTGAATATCCAAGGTTAAAGTACACTGAATAGTGGAACCGAATTCATGGTTTAAAAAAGTGAACTGATAATTCCTCCATTAAGCACTATTGTCTGTTACTGATAAGTAAAAGATAGTAAGGATTATAGTACATGGGCTTTTCAGGAAAGAGCGCTTACAGAATAAAAACTGCCAATGCATCTCTACAAAAGGCATATCACACTACTGCATATACTTAATACTCGCTCTCAATCTAGAGAAAAATTCGTGGTTTTAATAGTGTGAACTCATCAGCTAAGAAGACTAAAGTATCATGGTCATTCTTTGTGTCCTTCCAATCCAGCAGCCTTTAATATTTCCAACCACAATACCCTTCTCTTACTAAACAAGAAAACAAAAAAGCGGAAATAAAGGAAAACTTTGTAAAAATACTGAAGACATTCTTTCAAGACAGTGTGAATATGAGTGACGATGTATTAAATTGTTTTTTGTCTCTGCCCGAGGTAAGTGGTACGAATTTTTCCATTGAGGAGAAATGTCTCGAAGTTAACACTTTCACGTTTCTCAAATTGTCTACTTTTATCCGATATTAACACTGAATTGTCCACATTTACCCGAAAATAAAGTAACTTAGTAATTTCTTCTAACCATATCCCAGACCAATGTTTTTAAGAGCACAATCCAGCATTCCTGTCATTTGTTTTAAAATTATTGCATCTATCCCCAGATTAATGTATACATACTCTGAAACATTTCAGAGTTGGACATAACCAGAATGAAATATGAGCGCACTCAAATTTCAGTTATATAATAGGTCGCAAACAGTGATATCCGGTATCATTGTAATGCGACAGATGATACTACTATAAAGAACACCAGTCAAGAAACTCGACTGGGGATTAGCTAGATTACAGTTACCTTTATAGATTGAAGAGTTGAAAGCAAAAGATAGATTTACAAATACACTGATTAAGTTTTCAGTTTATTTACTATGTAGATGGCTATGAAAACTAGGCCGACGGATAATTAGTCGAAAGCCTCAATCGGATCAATTTTATCCTACCTAACAAAACCCGTTTTGAAAATAAACTTCACATTGGTGGGGAAGACCATAAGATGGAGTATTCTATAGTTTCGATTCTACGCCAGTATAAGAGGTAATACTATATTTGTCTTTTCTACACAAGTTCCCTTAACACCTAAGTTCTAATAGTACAATGCTGATGGAAAAGTTTAAAGTATCACTACCGAAGGGCACTTTAATGATATGAAAGATAAATTTGTCAACCGCCATTATGGAAGAAAAGGAACTATTAGTAACACTTCGTTGACTTTCGCGTTCCGCTGTTTAAAAGCACACATCAGCTTTTCGCAACATCACTGTAAGTCTTACCTTATTTATAGTAAATTTGTAGTAAATATTTCACAAAATGTATCCACAACTGTCGGTTGCTGCCCCACTTCAGAACTCAATCGACGGAAACGCTGCTTCTTATTGACGACACTACTATTGCAATAATTTTCTAAAGCCTTACCAATTTTTGTTAAATAAGTGTCTTTTTGAACCTACACTAAGTTCATTTGCATCGAGTGTGTTGAAAAGAATTAGATGTAGCAGGTAGGCGTTAGAGTTTATTAGTATTTTGTTTGAACCAAGAAGCTTCTTTAGTAAATAAACACAAACCTTGTATTAACTACCTTTTCTAAATTATGATAGATAATTCTATCAGTCACAATGTGAAAGTTTTACTGTCACCCAAGTGTAAATAATATTGGCAACCAAACATGCTTCATAGAAATCACTCTTCTGAATCATGTCAAGCGCGCAGAAACTGTGGTAGCCATGGGGAATTAAAGATGAATTTCCTGGGTAGACAGACGATAAGAAATAATTTCACTAATCCTTATGAAAATTTGACTACCTGGCGTGTTAATTGTGGGGAAAAGTAGACGATTTGGAAAAGGTGAGTGTCACTTCTGTAGTACTTATCTCGGACAGAGACAAAAGACAGGTTGGTGCATCGTCACCTACACTAACACTGAATTTCTTGAGATAATATCCCCAGTATTTACACAACGTTTACCTTTATTTTATCTTTACAGTTTGCTTGGAACGTGTTATTGTTAATCATTAAAATAAGATGGTACAGGTAACAATATCCTTACCTTATCCCCAGAAAAGCAAATGATAACTCCGTGGACATTGATAAAATCCGGTGATTTATTAAGAGCACATAATTTATCTAACGATCGAATAATTATATCAGCCGAGTAGTATTTGCAATCGATTTTGAGCTCAAACTTTGAATCACATACTGTAGACACTTGTATTTATCAAATTAAATTGAGGTTTGTAACGTACAGTTATCCAGCAATGTTCTTAAGTCACAACCATTTTCCGAAGCATCAATATATACAACCTCAGGTAAAGCCATCAGACGACCTTGAAAACTTCATATTATGCGGTGACGGTGACCAAACACCAAACTCAAATGGTTCAAATGCTTGTGGACGGAATATAAGTTTTCGCTTAACGGGCTTCCGTGTCTAGAAGAAGTGAATCACCAGTACCTCCAGACAAGACCTAGGCATATTAACGATAATAGAGGAAAAAATGAATTTGATAAATCATAATAGTATGTTATCCTTAGTCCTTAAGAATAAGTCAAGATTCCTCTTAAAGGACTCGTGGAAGTCGCTTGGACCAGCTCAGTCGGCAGCGAATCCTAGCATTTGACAACTCTTACGGAGTAGAAGTTGTGTCTACAGTCTGTTCTGCTATGTTGGGTCATGTTGAAAATGTCACTTGAACTAGCTCACTCAGTAATAAACTCCACCATTTGACTACTCCCACGGATTCGGTGTGCCTATATCCCGTTCTACTACGTTGTGTCTCCAGTTTCTGGGTCTTACTCCTATGATTTATGTTAGGAATGAGCCTAAGTTGGCATTTAAGAGGATGACTGGGAACACTTAGGATGCTATATGTCGTCGTGAGGTCACCTTCGAGACTCTTAAACTCTAATGGATAAAGATCGGGTGATTTGAAGCGTTCTACATAAAGCTCGAATTTGAGTTCCCGAACTAATTTCGTGACTCATCTGTGAATATGTTTCGATGTATCCTCATACTATATGCGTAGTCTGCTACATGTCTCATATGGACTACATTACACTTTGAAGTGCCAATTCTAAGTCAGTTGTTATTTGCCTAACTTTGAAGTCAAGTCAGGTCCTCTTTAAGTGCCAGCTATTCGTAAATTAGCTCTGTCTGATACTGAAACTTATCTTCCGTTATTGTCTTTGTGCATTGGTTCCTTGGTTCTATGAACCGCCTAGATGTGTTGTCGTTACTAGTATATTTATTGTACGCCTAGAAGTGCCTTTCGCGTGTTGCAAGAATTCTCATTCAGTGTCCACATCAAATTGAGTTTGGGCTTGTAGTATCAGTTTATATGTTAAGCCCATATACTTTATCCTAGCTACTGGCCAAGCCAATTCGCCTGTCATGAGTCATATTTTGATCTTGTTAATCATTTGCTTATTAACCTTGACTATACTTTTATATGAGCATATATGTGTACACTTCGTATCTTATTCATCGTATGCCTGTCACTCATTTTTGTCCGACTATAAATGTTGATTAACGCTTGCTTAAATCGAGTTGGCTTCCCAGCCAATCTCCATTGCGCATGGTCTTTCGCTTTTATTCACTTCATCACTCTGATTCTCTGGCCAGATCAATGACTGTAGAAAATATATGTATTCTAAATCTATTCTCGTATTTGACGTATTTAACTCCGTTGTTCACCAACGCGTATAAAGTCATTTATTACATACGAGTATAGACAGAATCAGATTTACACTACAACAAGCTTCCCAGTTCACTTACTGTAGATTGATCTGTATGGCAGACACACCTAACGGTTTAAAATTCCGACGTCTGTTGTTAGTTCAACAAATATCCATCAGGCCTATGCCACGCCTACTCAAAATACTGGTGTAAAAACAGTGCTATACATGGCGTAATTCTGTGAAAGATTCACATTTTTTAAGGTAAGAGGTGGAGGGCCTGTGTCACTCCATTTTCGTATGCTTTTGTGTGTACCTGCATGTTTCTAAATAAATTTTGAGGAAGCAGAAGCCACATATTTCAGTGGTGAACTCCAAGGGTTGTTCACCAGTTGTGGTAGCCCGTTTATCATGGAGATAACTAGAGTCCTTAGCTTATGAAACAGTTTGATGTGTTCTCTGAATGTTCTTGACTCGGTGAGAATGAAGGAGAGAATTTTTCTGGTCAAAATAAATTTCTCAGCAAGCCGCTGCATATAATTATGTGCCTCTTAGTCAAATAGTGGACATTATCAAACATTGAAGGTTGTTTATTGCAGAACAAGTTAAGTATCCGTAGAATCGTACAAACACCGGTCTTTCCAAACTTCAAAAAAATACTAAGTCCTTCCTGACTTACTTACTTATTTCTGCTGTTGTGCCTCATGGAGAACCATAAGCCGACCACCAGCATTCTCCATCCAACTCTGTCCTAGGCCATCCTTTCCAGTCGCTATTTATCCTTTTGATGTCTGCTTCCGAATTCCGACACAATGTGTTCTTCGGTCTTCCACTTTTTTCCACTTCTCTTCAGAATTCCAAGTTAGCGCTTGCCTCGTGATGCTGTTTGATGATTTCCTCGATGTATGTCTTGTCCACTTCAAGTGTCGTTTTCTAATTTCCTCCTCATATGGGAACTGGTTTGTTCTGTTCCACAGTAGGTTATTACTGATGGTATATGGTCAACGGACACTGAGTATCTTGTATAGACAATTGTTTATAAATACCTATACTTCTTTGATGATGATTGTAGTAGTTGTCCACGTTTCAGCTCTGTACAGTAGGACTGTCTTGACGACCGTATCGAAGATTATGACTTTAACATTAGTTAACAGTTGTTCTGAGTTGCATATATTGTTCAACAGTAGAGACGCGGCTCTTATGTTGCCAATCATCACCTTTACATCTGTATCGGATCCTCCTTGTTCATCAATGATGCTTCCCAGTTATGTTAATGATTCCACATCTTCCAGAGTTTCTCCACAAAGTGTGATTAGCTTGTCGTTCTGGCAAAGCGATCAATGCATCCATTACTTGTACAATCAAAGTCGGGTTATTCACCTGTGTTATTTAAAATGACTGGACCACTTAATCCGTATTCATTAGGCTGATGATGGGCATAAAGCGTTTCAACACCCGGTGTTTCAACTACGAAAACATCTTATAGACAACCTTCATCCAAAGGAAATAAAATATTACCAGTTAAATATGGCTTATTTTCAATATCCAAGATAGAATCTGTATCATCTCCCTGTGTTGACTGTGATAATGAATAAGAAGTGGTTAGGGCTTCCGAATTTTCACCATGAATATTGACATTTGTATTTTTATTTGTTTCGGTTTTTCATATTCGTTTATTAAAAACGATGTGGCCACTTTTTACTTTGGTAAACGTTGTATTTTTTTTCCTTATTAGAAGCATCACAGGCACTTGAGAATGTCTCAGAGATATCATAGCCTTGTATGTTGGAAGAATCCTCAACCATTGTCACAGTGATAGTCACTTCCCTATTGTATTTCAAGATCTTGCTTTTTCCTTTGGGTATGTTGAGGCTTATTGATGCAGGGGCTGCTGTTTCATTAGTTGTCTTCGTCTGCATTCGTTCGCGTGTGTCGTATAAGGGGGTTAGGTGATCTGAGAAGTCCAAATCGTCTAATTAATTCTGAGATGTCCATTGTATTCCTTGCTTCCCCCCCAGGTGTCGATGTCTTCATAATCCAGTCATTTATTAGGAGAAAGAGGAATAGAGAGTGTAGACAGCCTTGTCTGACTCCAGCCCTTACTGGTAATGCATCTGTCGGCTGTCCTCCATGCACGACTCTGCACTGTAGTTCGTCGTATAAGTTCCGGATAATGTTGACGATCTTCTGAGGGACTCTATAGTGTCGAAGAAGTTTCCATAATGTTCTCCGGTGCACACAGTCAAACGCCTATTCATAGTCAATGAAGTTGATGTATACTGACGAGTTTCACTGAACTGATTGTTCCACGACGATCCGTAGTGTCTTGACTTGGTCTGTGTACAACCTATCCCCACGGAATCCAGCCTGTCAATCTCGAAATTGAAACCCTACTGAATCTTTTATCCAGTTCAGTGTGAGGCCTCTGCAACTCTCACATTCGCTCAGATCTCTTTTTTGGTATCTTATGAAATATCCTACCACTCAGTCTATCTACACTTGTTCTTCCTCCCAAATTTTCTGGAATATAACGTGGAGCATGCTTGCTGTTACTTCAATGTCTGACTTCAGTGCTTTAGCAGGCTTATTGTCAGGTCCTGCTTCTTTCCCACTGTGGATTTGTTTGATGACCATCCCAATTTCTTCCGTCGTTGGAGGAATGATATCTATAGGAAGGTTCGTAGGTGCTGCTTCTATATCCGATGGATTCAATGGAGCTGGTCTATCCATGAGTTATTTGAAGTGTTCTACCCATCCGTCCCTCAGTCCCTGAATTTCAGTGATTTTCTTGTCTTCCCAGTTCCTGACCGATCTCTTTGGTTTACTACATTCCCCTCCCACTTCCTCCGTTGTGTCATATAGTTGTTTCATATTTCCTTCTCTTGCAGCCTTTTTCTCCGTCGTTGCTTGCTCTTCCATGTATTTATGCTTATTAGCTCTAATGTTTCTCTTCACTTGCTCGTTCGCTTCTGCGCATTCAGCTTATGTTATGACTTCGTTCTTGTTCGACTGCTATTGAATGCTGTCTTTTTGTTCTTCCTTTCTTGAATCTCTTTCAGGGTTCCCATAGAGATTCATTCCTTATGATGGTGCTTCTTGTAGCCCAGAACCTCCTGACACGTTGAAGGTAGTGCTTCTTTGATACCTTTCCAATTGTCTTCCATCGTAGTTTCTTCTTCTGTGAGTAAATTTTGCAAGGCTCGAAACCTGTTGTTGAGAGCGATCTTCAATTCGTTGAATTTGACATTATTTTGAAGGAAGGCTGTATTGAACCTTTGTAATGCTATTTCCCAAGTTGCCCAGTACTTCAGTTTCAGCTTGACAATCACTGACTAGTGATCTGAAGCACAAGTGACAATGTTTTCAAGAGTACTTGTAATGAGGAATACTGAGATGGTATTTTCCTTCTGAAACAAAGGAATGCCTGTGCATTTCACACTTATTCAAAATGAAATTAACCATACTCTTCTAAACCACTTTCGAAAAAACCCGCTAAATAAACTATGCCGTTGTTGTTAGAAATCAATATACAAGATAACACGGGTACGGTGATAGGGAAAATATTTTTTACCGATTCAGAGGATCACAGTGTTTTGAAAGCATACTCTTCACCGAACATTTGGAAAATCACCTTTTTCGTTGATCGTAAGGCAGAGAGACAGAAGCAGGAGGGAGCATAAATTATGCCACTAAAACTGTTATTCCCCCTTTTAGTGCTCATCCTTAGTAATATTTTACCATCCGATGGTCGCTTCTTTGATAGTCTCCATGATATGGTAGTTGCTATCTTTATCGCGCCCTTTTGAAAGGATATCTCATAACAGAGAGTCTGTAATGGCATTGAACCCTGGCCAAACGACTCATACACATTGACTATCTTTTGCACTTAATTGAGACTTTCGTAGCATCACTCCAAACTATGACTGCACAAACACTTATTATAAGGTCATATCTTACCGAAATAATAAGTTATTTAGTTATTAATTTATTCTACTTCACTACTCCTTTGACGATACATACATAGTCGTTTATTCTTGTTCTGTGTTCATAAACACGCTTATTAATCTATTTACATATTTCACGTCTCCTCTGTTTCTATTTCCTTAGTTTCTTCATTTCCTTCTTTAAAATAAATTCGATATTCTTTTCAATCACACATATCCTGATCTATTATTAATATTTTATTCTATTTTGCTTTCCTTTCTCGTTTGGAAAAATGGCAAATATATTGCTAACATCATTGAAACTTGTGTATTATTGCATTTTTGAAGAAACCCGAAATGGTTTCTTCACGATACTTATGTACCCATAAGATTTTTGTTAATGATAATAATAATATTAGTATGATTACTGAAAAGATCTACATTCAACAACTGACACAAAGAAAAGTTTAACAATGGAGAACGCGGGAAAATTAGTTTAATCAATTTGATGACATGGGTCAGCCTTGCAGGTGCGGTCATTCTTGTGTAACCTACCTCTTTTATTCATATTAAACATATTGTTCTACCTCCAGCCTAAATGTGTTCTCCATCATATATTGGTGATTCTTATGATAGGACGAGTCAGTGCAGACAATGATGTGACTTCCACATAAAACCTTATAGATTAGTAGTCACATCATGGAAAATGTACAATTCTAGGATTACGTCTATTATTAGAGCAATATTAATAAAGAAGTAGACCATAATTCTACAGGTCCATCTGACGTGTGTTTTGCGATTCCCACCTAAAAGAATACATGTATTTGCAACATAAACACTCACTTCAACTTTGGATGTTTATGACCGAGTCCAGAGACTTAAGTGCCACTCTTATATGGACTTTGCCATCAATAACTGAATGTTGCGATAATTAGTATGTGCCCATTATTGATGTGTCCTCAATAAACATTCTAGATGGTATAATATAGTATTATTATCCGAGTACATTTTAGTATGAACAGCTGATGCTGTGTAAGACTCCGAGATCAGATGCCGAGAGACTTAAGATATTCATTGATACGGGTATCCCACCTTGGTCAATAAAAACTACAAGTTCATCCAGAATGTAATCCCATCACTTTCTCCCCCCTCGAAAATTCTCAAAGACCAAGGCGTCAAAAGGTTCGATCGACAAAACAGTCGGTAAAAAGGAGAAAAAAGATCCTCACCAACTCAGGAAAACTCATCACAGATTCACAAACAAAATGCCTAGTCCAAAGATAGTCCATAAAGCTAATGCCATCACACACTGATAAGGTAATAAATTCCTCTGCCAAATTATCAAGAATAGTGACGTCAGGCTAGGAATGGTACCCATAGCAGTGAACGACAAATAAGCATAGAAACCTATCTTACGAACAACCTGTCCAACTTAATACCACTATACCCTCTCCAAAACACTAAAAAGAAGGCAAAACACACACTCCACTCGCCGTCTACAAAAGAAAAATTTGTTAAAAATTTTAGCTTTCTAGGTAATAAAAGTTATTACATCTAAAATTTATGGAAATTTGAAAGAATATTAGACACAATGAACGTTTCCAATTACCATAAACTGTAAGTCTTGAGATTGGTACATTCAGCAATATACCGATTTGGTTTCTACCTCGAGAAACTACGCTGTTCCGAGAAGGGCGCAAAAAATATGTTTAAGACGGAAATCCAGAAAAATTTGACCCAGTGGCTTCCTAACCACACATAATACAATCAGTCCCGATTCTCAGAACGCATTCAAACATGTACTTTTTGGGTTGAAAATGTGTTTTTTACTCTTCAATGAATGTTATTTCTGAACACTTTTCACAAATATTTCACCATTCTCTACATTGAAAATTCCTTCGTCATCTTTTTTGTCCAACTCATCATATCAGAAGCATGTAACTTCCAGCAACGTACTCAGTGAGTCATATATCACAAATAACGTCGGATGGTCATCATATCATATCAAGAGATGATGTTTGGCGATAAATAACTCCCAAAAATTGATATCTTGTAAATATTTCACGCTGAAGTTATTCATTTAAGCTTTACTGGACATACCACTGGTTGGATGCTCTCGGTCAAGTATCCTTGTCAAGTCGAGTTTCACGTAATAGTGGAGTGATTATTCACTATTGGTTACTCAGCTCAGAAGTCACTCACTACGGTACTTTTCATGATACTCTAGATCTACCAACTAAACAATCTTTGACCTATTTTCGAACTGTTGCGGGAAATTCTCAATAAAATGAACTCCGGTACGAGTGATATAAAACTCTATATTTTCCTAAACCTTTTTGAGATTGAGTTCCGGAAAGATCTGATGCAACCTAGTTGTCTAAAGATAACCCATGTTATTTCAATACACAAAAGTATCTTTATTCCCTACTGCTAAAGAATATCGAAGCAAGGTAATAAAAAAAGTTATCTTGTACTGTTATTCTGCATCCATCACAATCCGAAATCAACTGCCTGTGAAAACTATCATTATACAGAATGTTGTAAAAGGTGCCCAACCATTGGAACGAAAATTATTAAAAACCTGGGCAGTTCTAGAACTGTCGGGTTTCTGCCTTCTTAGGGACTCCTCGGTTCTCACATGACTTTAAGCTGATACCTCCTCTATTGTGCAACAATCTAGTTCAATGAATCAACTCATATAACAATGTGAAGCAACTTCCCGAATACATGGACATAAATAGGAAACTATGTGCAGAACTATCACACAAGTAGAATAGAACTGAATAATAGGCCAGTGATTAGTAAAAAATAACTCAAGTAAGATAAAACACAAAACAACAACCTATACCTCAACAGTAATATTACAATTAGGATAATATATTTATTTAAACACAAATATTGGTACAAGGAGGCACGAAATATATATGCGCTGCACAAATCTGATTTGATTTGTATGAAAGCTGTGATACTGCCCAGGTGCCCAAACTGAAACAGACGGGAGAATATAAGCGTATAACAAACTATATGTCTAATAATTATACAGTGATAATCACTTATCCTTCGTCCGGTAGTTATACAAACTACAGTCTTCTCGGTACTCAATGTTATAACGGCTGGTACTTTCAGCAAAATATTAAAAGGATAGTCAAACCGAGCGATGGCAGAGTCCTAAACAATTAGCTCAGTTTTGGTTGTTAGTAATCAGGAGGAAATTGCAAACGTAGGTTTCCAGGTAGCTGACACGTCTTGGAACTTGTCTTCGGTCACAAGAAGTTCGAGTACATATCACACAGAGTCAGCCAAACCCCCTAATACTGGGCAAATCGGGCTACAAATGTCTCCCAACAGTAGTGCGGCACTAGCAGCGACCAAGTAGTGATTCAAGTCACGTTTGTCCAGTAACTTCTATGGTTAGTACTGGGTGACGCGAGTTCGAACCACAGACACCAGTTCCCTCAAATTGGCACATACTTGTTATCGGCAAGTATAAACTGGTCTAAAACCTAGATGCATCACTTTCATTAACATGTAGTAAGCCCATTATATGTATGCTCACTGTAATTTAGACAGTTAATCCACTATGTAAATTTATGTGTGAATCTGAATGAGCACATGTCTGCACATAAATCTTCAATTTATTCTCCCATTGGTTGTAACACAGACAACCATTAATTTATCCACAATCAATTAACACTCATAAGCTTATATGGACTTTTAACATTCATATACACACTGGTTTCTCTTTGTGCTCGCTTCCTGCACGCTTTCAGGAAACAGAAACACTGCATTCGTGATTACAAGGAACGCCAATCCCGATTGCATCCATTTACTATTATTACTCAGTTAAAAGTTCTACAATTAACAGAAACAAAGATGAAACCTAAAACTCTAAACAGAAAATTGCTAAATAACGATGGACAACTCAGTTTACAGAATAGTTAATCAATTCTTATACAATATGTATCACAAAGGTGGGGCAGGTATCCATAATCAGATTAAAGTTGTAGTTGAATTCACACAATATGATACCACACTCTACACATACTAACAAGATCCCCCTACTTACATTACAAGATACAATTTACTGGATGAACAATGACAATATATTGTAGATTATCAAGTGATGAAAAACAACCTGAATCTAAAAAATATCATTAAGACAGGACCGAAATGCGTGTAAAAAAAAAGTGAAATAAGCGCTAGAAATGAAATATAAAATTTTAGGATTTGATGATATACATAAATATATATAAAAGCAGTAATTATTGATGAAATAAAGAAATAGGTTCGAAAGCAATGTAAATGGAAAAATAGCATAACAATAGCCCAATCATGCTACGATTATCAGATCTGAGTGTTTGATTCATTAACTATAAGACCTGCATATTAGGCCTATTTTATTTTCATAAATTATATTTCTTCATAGCCAATTTGACGGCGTCGACTACTGATAATAAAAGCGATCAAAGCAGCCGCTATCATAACCACCAATAAAACGCCGACAACAATAGGAATAACTTTAGTCGGTACATAATCGGCAGCACAAGAGGAAGCTAGAGGGAAAATGTTAAAAGTTAATAATAATCGATGCATCTGATGCAAATATCTTACAGAAGAGGTTGTTAGTTTGAGTAAACGTTTTACAATAAAAATAAAAGCAATTTTCGGTTAGATTCTAATTCCATAGACGAAATAATTGAGGTTAAGATAGAGACATTAAGGTCAGGGCACAGTTCTAATAATAAATAATGATCGTGAGAAAAATATATAAAATTACTAATACATAAGATTGTAAGTATAAAAACGGAAATCTACGATTGTGGACGTGAAGTAGCAGTGAAAGAATACAAGGAAGTTCTAGATGACGTAATATCTCGTTATAATGTGTGTTAGTAAAGGAAATCGCCTACAAACGATTTTTTGAAGTTGCACTGGATATTGGGAATTCAAATAACTACCACATCTGCTTTGACAGAAGTGTCAGAACCACCTCTAGTACAATATTTTGTGCACTAAAAGAGAAACTTGCTTTGAAACTGTTATACAGTTATCATCATTGCTTAGTGATATGGGAAGAGTTGCTGAAATGGATGCGATTGTCAAAAAAAAACTATTTATGATCACACAAATGCCCTAGAAGAGACTTTTAAATCATATAGATAAAATTCTATATTGAAGTTGTCAGTAGCTAATCTGTAAATATTCACTAATCCTGTAGACCGGTATCTACTCTGTAATTTATTTTGTTAGGTATGATAAACTCTTCTCTTATAACACTAATATCATAATAGGCTAGAACTAATGAGAAAAAAATAAATCTTCAATGTTGTCTATATAATTAAATTTAATGAAATCTTCTTTCCCTATACCATACAAAATAATAACAGTTTAAGAATTCAGTATATTGATTGTCCTGAATTTTTCAATCAACAAAAGTAAACAATGTAGCAAGCGATCATCTGAAGAATACGGAATACCTTTGATATGGGTTTATCAGTAATGAAATTACTTCAAATAACAATTGATTTAACTTCATACGGAGACGAAATCTCAGCACAGATACAGAAGGCTCGTTTAGTTTTCGCCAACTTGCGTCATTTATGGTGTAGACGAGATATTCGTCTACCAATAACACATACTTCGACGGAATTTTCAAGAATTGATCTCCTACCAGGTGGACCACTAAGCGACTTAGAATACGCAGATGACATAGTCCTGTTTGGTGAAGACGCTGACAAAATGCAGAGACTTCTGTCAGAACTGAGTAATAATGCCAAGATGTTTTGGATGCGTTTCTCCCCATCCAAATGTAAATTGTTACTCCAGGACTGGCCTGCGTCAACACCTGGACTAAGGATAGGAAGTGAAGTAGTCGAACGCGTCGACAACTTCACCTATATTCAAAGTCTGATCAACCCTATTGGGTTGGTGTCTGACAAAATCTTTGCATGTATTCAGAAAGCTCGTTTCGCTTTTGCCAACTTACGTCACCTATGGTGAAGACGAAATATCCGTTTATCAATTAAGGGACGAGTTTACTGTGCAGCAGTTCGTTCTGTTCTACTTTACGGCTGCGAAACGTGGACATTAAGAGTAGAAGATACTCGTAGGTTACTAGTATTTGACCACAGATGTCTTAGAAATATTGCTCGCATCTCCTGGGATCACCGGGTAAGTAATAGTGAGGTTAGAAGCAGGGTATTAGGAAATGATGGTAAATCAGTTAATGAGGTTGTGAATCTTCACCAACTGAGATGGTTGGGCCACGTGTTACGTATGCCTGAACACCGATTACCACGACGCTTTATGATGACTAGAATTGGGGATGGTTGGAAGAGAGTTAGGGGCGTCCAAACCAAAACGTGGCATCAGTCCTAGAAGTCACTAACTTCCGGTTTGAGTCATGTTGGCAGATGCATACTACTTGATTGGGGTTCGCGTGACTACCGTAACTAATGGTTGGAGACTCTAGGTGACATCGCTCAGAATCGATCACAATAGCGTAGGTGTATACACTTTTTATCTTCCCTTAAACTAAGAGATTAAAATTGCTTCATAACGTTCTTCCTTACTATACTATATCCTTATATACAACCTATCTTTTATATACTACCACCACTAAATTAACTATTTCTATGAATCCGGTGTTCATCTTGTTGTGCTAACGAGATATGGCAACTTGGACAGATGCATATGTGTGCCTGGTCCTACGTTGTAGTTGACTAACTGATCATGAAATAACATTTCATTTGATAAATCACAAACGTAGCTGACTGACTGACTGACCAACCAAAGGACGGGTTTATCGCGCAGCAGTTCGTTCCGTCCTACTTTATGGCAGTGAAACATAACCGGTAAGAGTAGAGGATATTCGTAGGCTACTAGTATTCGATCATAGGTGTCTTCGAAGCATTGCTCGTATATTCTGAGACCACCGAGTAAGTAATGCGGTTGTTAGGAAACAGGTGCTAGGTAAAAATGGCAAATCTATTGGTGAAGTAGTGAAACTTCATCAGTTGAGATGGCTGGGACACGTGTTACGTATGCCCAACCACCAACTGCCCCGACGTGAGATGCCTTATGGTTAAAGGAGTAGGTTGGAAGAAAGCTGGGGGCGACCAGACCAAAACGTTGCACAAGTCCATGAGGTCACTGACAAGTGGACTGAGCCATGTTGGTAGGTGTAGACTACCTGGTTGGGATCCGCGAGATGATATCAATCGATGGCTAGAGACCTTGAATGATATGACTCGAAATCGTTTGCAATGGCGAAGATGCATCCACTCTTTGTGTTCTGCCAAATTTTAATCCTCTGAATTTTTCATTTCCCTTTTTTCCTCTTTCCAAATTTATTTCACTGGATTATACTCCCTCAAGAACATCTTTAAAGCCTAATCTTTCGGATTACTGCTTATACTTTTACTACCTCTACCACTATAAAATTTGAATTGACAACTGCATCTCTGTGCTAATGTGTTATGGCAACTTGAACTGATGTACGTACGTACGAATTTCCACGTTGTTGTTGACTGGCTGACATTGACTAAAGTTTTTAAACTAGAAGGAATAAACAGCTAGTGTAACTAATGTATTATGAGACTTAAGAAATTTTTGAATCATAAAACGTGTATCTCAATTTTCTTGATATATCTTAGCACTTGATTTTGAATTCATAATGCAAAGGTAACCATTTCTACTATTTCCAACGAAGTATAGTTTTCTTCATTCCTTGACATGTTATTGACGAATAAAAGATACATGTCAACATCGCGTTCATATTTATTGTACTGTGATATTTATCAGTAAGCACACAAAAAGCATACCGAAGTCAGGATCTTCAATTTCCATATGAGGAGGAAATTAGGAAACGACACTTGAAGTGGACAAGACATACATCGAGGAAATCATCAAACAGCATCACGAGGCAAGCGCTAACTTGGAATTCTGAAGAGAAGTGGAAAAAAGTGGAAGACCGAAGAACACATTGTGTCGGAATTCGGAAGCAGACATCAAAAGGATAAATAGCGACTGGAAAGGATGGCCTAGGACAGAGTTGGATGGAGAATGCTGGTGGTCGGCTTATGGTTCTCCACGAGGTGCAACTATTTTATTATTTGAACAAATAAATGTTGATACAAAGAGGCACCAAATACATATGCGCCATACAAATCTCATTCGATTTGTGTGAGGTCTGTGATACTGCCCAGGTGCCCAAACTGAAGCAGGTGGTTTTCTTAGGGGCCCACACCCCGAGCCTTTGGCCGAAAGATCTGATCCACAAGGTAATGGAGCATCGTAAGGAGATGCAGTCACATGGTAGCCGGTGATCAACGATTGATTCATACGCCATTTGTTCCCTCAGGATACTGGATCCCATGTGCACCATTGGTTTGAAATCAGGGTTTTCCAACTCCCCTAGGTGGACGCGCCGTGTCCACTAACCCGGTTAAAGCGTCGGACATTCGCTTTTTGTCCTCTCACTTTCATAAACAACACCCGTGCCACGAGAAGGCAGTGAGTAGGACTTCCCTGGCAGAAACTATATACATGTGGCCATATGAGAGCATTTGGAGAGGGAGAGCGGACTCTCCCCACTCTCGGCCGTACCAGGCCATTTGGGGGCACGAGGTGCAACAGGCATAAGTACGCAAAAGGTGGTGATTATATATATACAAAGCAACAAATAAAAGAAAACAAACGAAATGAAAATATTTTTTTTCTCTAGATAATTTAATTAACTTACTTGGTCCAGTAAATGTATTATTAGAAATATCATTATTTCTAAATGCTTCAACTTGAAACTCACTAAATGTAAGTCGTATATTTGTTGAATTTGATAATTTATCTTTTAATTCATAAGTTTGTTCACTTAAACAAACAAATGATGTACCAATAGCACAAGAAAAAAGTGATTTATCCGTAGAAGCATTATGTGGACCTGTCACCATCAAAACCCCAAAAACAAAAAAAAATTAATTAAAATAACTCATAATGTCATTGAATGAGAAAAAAAGAATTCAGCGAATAAAATTTTCTTTTCGACGAAATCATTTACTTAAGTTGTACATTCGTATATATAGTTATATGAAAAATATATGTCTATAGGGGGCTAGGAAAGATTGCATTATAAATGGATTCGACAATAAATAACAAATGAGGTGACGTACTAATCAAGGGTAAGGAAGAAAATAATTTATGGTTTAGATAATAGTCCAATTGACAGATATGAAGAAAAGCGACAAACACAAAGATCATAATAATAGACTGAATAATAATCAAGAAAACTTGTATAAGGTAATAATAATAACTGAATAAACGGATTTCAAAAACGTTGAATAAAACTTTGTACACAGCCAAGTTTTGAATCGTTTTCTCTAGCCGGCCTACCATTCGGGGGGGGGTGTTAAGGATAAACTTTCGCTTTGGGCCACATCGATGTGTATTTATAAATTTACTTGCTCATGTGAAGCACGTTACATAGGCCGCACAAAGCGATCGCTTTCCAAACGTATCTCTGAACACTATCCAGCTTGGCTCCTACAAAGTGAATGTAAAAAGATAACCAGTTCGATACAAGAGCATTTGATCAATTGTGGACACATTGCTCCAAAAGACTCGTCTTTTAAAATAATCTATAGAGTTAAAGGAACCGGATCAAAGGGAGGTCGAATCAATATTTTATGCACTGCAGAGGCATTGGCAATTCATGAATTCAAGCCTGAACTTTGCGTGCAGAAACGATTTGTCCAACCTCTCACCCTTCTTTGGCCCTAATTCTCTCATTGGGTACGTTTTTGGTTTTTTTTTCTCTGCACTTTTATATGATTATTATCGGATTTTTGTTTTTAAATTACTGTTTTACACTTTAAATTCTAATCAGACTGGTAGGTCCTGGGTTCGGATCTCGTGGGGCGGGATCGTGGATGCGCACTGCTGAGGAGTCCCATAATAGGACGAAACGGCAGTCCAGTGGTTCCAGGTTTTCCATGGTGGTCTAGCTTCAATTGACTCATGATTTCAACCATGAAAATACTCTAATCAGTTATTATTATTATTACCTTATACAAGTTTTCTTGATTATTATTCAGTCTATTATTATGATCTTTGTGTTTGTCGCTTTTCTTCATATCTGTCAATTGGACTATTATCTAAACCATAAATTATTTTCTTCCTTACCCTTGATTAGTACGTCACCTCATTTGTTATTTATTGTCGAATCCATTTATAATGCAATCTTTCCTAGCCCCCTATAGACATATATTTTTCATATAACTATATGTACGAATGTACAACTTAAGTAAATGATTTCGTCGAAAAGAAAATTTTATTCGCTGAATTCTCTTTTTCTTATTCAATAATAACTGATTAGAGTTTAAAATGTAAAACCATAATTTAAAAAACAAACAGAAAACCGATAATAATCGAATAAAAGTGCAGAAAAGAAAAAAAGGAAAAAAACGACAACCAAAAACATGCCCATTAAGGGAATTAGGGCCAAGGAATGGTGAGAGGTTGGACAAATCGTTTCTGCACGCAAAGTTCAGGCTTGAGTTCATGGATTGTCAATGTCTAAGCAGTGCATAAAATATTGGTTCGAGCCCCCCTCTTTGATTAGTACGTAACCTCATTTGTTATGTAGTGTCGAATCAATTTATAATGCCTGTAGACATATGTTTTCCATAGAACTATATATACGAATGTACAGCTTAAGTAAATGATTTCGTTGAAAAGAAAATTTTCTTCGCCAAAAAAAATTTAATGGATTTTTATAAACCATCTCTTTTTACAAATGTAAAGTGATTAACTAAATATTATTAATATAATATATAATTAAAACAAGGATTTTATGTATATTAGTTACCATATGATTTGTAATATATGAATAATCAGTCAGTCATTTAGCTACAACGTAGGACCAGGCACATTTATACATCGCATATGAATAATAATATTAAAGTATTTACTTAATATTAACACATAACAAGTAATTAGACATGTTATTGGAATAACAATAGTATCATACTAAATATGTGAATGGTCTCCAATAGTATAGTGAAGTTCTTTTTTTTAAATATACACATACATATCCATGTTATTAGTAATATATATATATATATATATATATATATATATATATATATATATATATATATGTATATATATACATATTCCTAGTAAGCCAATGTAGCATATTCGAAAGAAAAAACAACGTTTGCAAACGTATAACTCAGAATTATGAGCCAAATTAATAAAATATGCATTGAATATACGTATAAGTATACAATGAGTTACATTAATTATTCAAACAAATTTTATCAGTCAGTCAGTCAGCTACAACGTAGGACCAGGTACATTTATGCACCGGTCCAAGTTGCCATACCTCGTTAGCACAACCAAGTTTATAGTATAATACATTACTATAGACTGTATAAAATTTGGAATTTTAAAAATCTATTAAGATTAGTACTGTAGTATAGTATCTTGATATAGTGTATTTGAAACCTCACCTATTTTATTTTAATTTAGAGTTGAAAGAGTAATTACCAGTGAAATTCAGAACATGTATTTTCTTCTTATTGAGATTTGTCAGTTGGATGAAACTCTATCCGAATTTTGATACTCAACTTATACTCGAACCTGAAACCCTTTGCTTACTTTATTAATAAGTAATAATAAGATGTAGACATCATACCCGTTGAAAAAGTTAATGGCTATTTGGGTTCTTGCTTCTTATAAATCATATTTCCAATAAGAAGTTGGCTCTTTTCTTTGTTTTCTTCTTTGCACAATCCAATATTTCCACTCATTTGTTGTTCTGCTTATGAAGTGTAGAACGACTTCAACAAATACATACTTCTATTAAACCTACTACATTGTTTATAAACGGCTGACAAGTAATATTCGATATATATATGTACGTGATCAATTATTCACCGCGAGAGAATAATCAATTAAACTGTTGTATAAATGAAACTTTACCACATACTAACTAAACCTGATATCGAATTTTGGTAGCATGCATACTTATATATGTACCGTTGGATATAAAGGGATTGTTGCGCAATATATATAAAGATTCATTTGCACGTCGGTAAAACAACACCATCGACCACTTTTTGTTAAGTAGTCAATTTTCAACAATCAATTTACTGAATACAACCGTACAATAACGAAAGATGTGAAACACAGTGATCATTTGTTTATAGACACAGTGTCACAGCATTGTTATAAATGTTACCTAAACATACATAGAACTTATCCAATGTAATAAACAATGAAAATCGCTTATGTAATTTATGCACTAATTATCATCATTTTCATACTCAGTTAACTAAGAATACACAGTTTAACTGTTTACACAATAATGAAAATAATCCTCAGTAGTTCGTAGAAATAAAATACATTTGTAATTTAACATAATCACAAAGGAAATAACAACGTTGTATTAAGAGAGTTGAGATCAAAATTTAATAGTTAGTATAAATGGGATCAATCCCGATCAGAATTTCCCAGATAAATCTAAACTATCAAAAGTAACAAAAACTCCCTTCACAACACCTGTAAAAGGACAAATTTGATCAAAATAATCCTTAAATTAAAAAATTTCATGATCAAATGACATCCTAGTAAACTTGGGTGAGGTTTTAGGAGTAATCTGTCCATACTTATACAGAAGATGATAGTCTATTTCCAGCTGAGGTTAATTTGATAGAAGTATTCATTGTTACTTTAAAAGTATGATGAGGTTATTCGTCACAATCAGAATACGCCAAAAGTTTCCACACATTCAAGGCTGATATTAAATACTGCATATTTTACTTAGGAAGTACAAGAAAATGATCTATATGGTCATGAAATTATACTGAATCACAAAATTAGACAGAGTCAAAATAGAGGTTCATAAACTAGCGTTTATAGGTAACCATCGGCCTTTATCTTAGGCTAGATCACCGCATATCGAAAGAAAAGGTTTGATGAAACGTTGAAAAGTCCCATCTTACTTTTAAGAACAACATAACGGAAGTTCTATTTGGAACTGTTTGATATTTTAAAAAACCGAATCGGATGGTCATTAGGCTCCCATACACGGAGCACCGAAATCCTTTAGCACAGTTATACGTTTATAAAATCTGTCATGGAAGTTCTACTCAATGTTTTCAAATGGTCGAAGTGTTTTTACAAAAGTAAAGGCTAAAGTGGACATACGGTGCTTGAGCCGAACTGGTGGACGTAGAGTGAACCTAAGCTAGTTGAAAAATTTGATTACAAACCAGTGATGAAGATGGATTCTAAAATTTCGAAAATGAATGGGTCACGAACACTCTGGTCACCAGTTGCAGTCACCCCAATGTCTAGAAGTTTAGGGCCTCATGCCAAAGGCCGTGAGGAATCCAAATTAATAAGAATAGTTTTTATCATTAAGAGGGGACCAATCTTTAACGAGTGAGCTTAGGATTGAAGAAAGCTCTCTTTAGATATGATTACAGTAATTAATGCAATTAGAACTTTATCAGAACTACGTAATGCGCCAATACATCACTTGGTTTTGATAAACTTCATCTAATTGCATCGGCTAAATTTGCTAAAAGAACTAACTACTTTGAGATTAAGAAGGTAAAACTACCATGGAACGGGGAAAATTATGACAGCTGATCGACATATTGATTCTCATTATCATATGGAAGCATTTATCGAGAAACGGATGATCTTTATCACAGTAGTTGAGAACTGAAGCTATGAGAAATTACTGATAATCAAAATTTTAATATTTGGAGAGCTTCCCAAAAGTAAGAAAAATACTGTTTTCAGGAATTAGAAAGTGGAAATTTACGATGAATTCAACAATAAAATCAAAGATTATTTCCAAAACTTTGTTCTGGTCATACAAAAAACAAATATACCTAGTATGTCATTAGCTTCTATGATTCACAATGAATA